TACGACAACAATGTGGACGTGAACATGATCAGCCACATATCTGCATGAGCGATTTCGTCAAACCTTTGAAGCTTGGTAATCTTTCAAAAAATGTTTATTGGCTGTTAGGGATAACTGTCATCCAAGATCCATATATCTATCCATCCATGTCATCCACATAAATAGAAAAATGCTTGTTTTATTATAAAACTGCGCAAGTGACTTTTTACTTGTAAATAATTACATTGAAAGAATTTTTTGAGAAGTCTGAATTAACTTTGTAAATTTTTTGGGGTCGTGGCTCCCGCCATGCTCCCTTTTTTTGAAATTCTTATGTTATTGGTAGCCTAGAATTTTCTTTGATAAGGCGTTTACCTCCTTTCCTCCACCGAAAAAAAATTGGTCTGCTGCTAGTGGGTCTCGCGGAAGGGGGCGGGCATTATTTTCCTAGATTGAGAAATCTTTCAATTACTAGGGAGCTTACGGAGTTTTTGGTTTTGACTTCTTAGAATTTTCAGAGAATAGACCTTTGCCACATTCACGAATTTTTTGCTGACATACCTAAACCAATTTTTACAAGTTTCTAAATCATGAATGAAAAGTATCGATTTATGAGAGATATTTCATTTTCGCAAGTTTATTTTGCGTCCACACGTGTACAAACGCTGCACGCCTTACTGTGCAACGTCTGCGTTTATGAATTGACCTAAGAAGTTCATTATACTATTGTCATCAATTTTAGATCTCCCCTTGGACTATATGGGTATATTTGCATGCAGCGCTGGCATCGGTGCTGAAAAGTATTGCAAAGAACTGGAAGCTGACCACGACGACTATGGAAGCATCATGGTTAAGGTAAGCCAGTTCAGATACTTCTGCGCAGAGATTCATATACCGTGGTCCACCATCTGCGAAGACATTTATCTGATTTTCTGATGTCTCTTTGATTGTTCTTTGAGCATAAAACAAATTAGATTCCACTTGAAGCTAAGATACTGTTCATCTGTCCCAGGCACTTGCTGACCGTCTAGCCGAAGCATTCGCCGAATATCTGCACCGTCTGGTTCGAACGGAATTGTGGGGATACTCGAAAGATGAAGTAAATTCCGTCTTCGTTAGTCTTCCGTTAGTATGTGCAACTATATCGGAAAAACACCTAAGAAAAAGTCTTTCCCTAAAAAATTTTCTGGCAAATTAGTGTGCGAATCTGAAGTGAAATGAAGAGATTAACAATTTGGAACATTTTTCACTTCATGCCTAC